CAAATTAAAGTATAAGTAATTGATTTTGGGACCCATGGGTTTCTTGCATTTCTGTATGCCCTGCAAGAAAAGCACTGATTGTCCTTTTTATAAACTATCTTTCCAAGGATGTCTGTAAAGCAAACAACCTTGAAAAATAAGAGATAGGGTCTCCTTCCATAGTAAAGGAAAAGCATATTTACTGTCCTAATATTATAAAAAACTTGATTCCCTAAGCTCAGAGTTCTTTTCCTATAATACTAATACAACCCTACATGACTAATTCATGTCATGCCGTAGGAACTGGAATTCAGAAAACTGGTACAAAAATAGTAATACAGTAATCTCCCTTCTCATGCAGGGGATACATCCCAAGTTCCCCAGTGGATGCCTGAAACCGTGGATAGTACCAAACCCTAATGCAATATGTACTATGTTTTTTCTATCTGATAACTGAGATGGTTACTAAGAGACTAACAGTCAGGTTGTGTATACAGCATGGATATGGATATGGATATGCATATGCATATGGATAAAGAGATGATTCGCCTCCTGGCCAGGACTGAGCGGGATGGTGTGAGATTTCATCACACTACTCAAAATGGCATACAACTCAAAACTAATAAATCATTTACTTCTAAAATTTTCCATTTAATATTTTTGGATGGTGGTTGACTGTAGGTAACTAAAGCTATAGAAAATGAAATTGCAGATAAGGGGGGACTACTGTATTCTGGATTCTGCAACTGTTGTAATAAACTGTCTTTCATCTGTGACCCAGGAGTCTTATCTCTCCTACCAGCGCCCACCAAATTCTGTCAAATTCACTATTATCTTGTCCTAAAAATGAAATCTCAGATCCTTTACAGTTCTTGACAACTGTACTTTTAAATTTTGAAAGTTTTATACAAGTACATAAATACATGAATAAATTATAACTAAATATAAACAAAAAGTAATTTTTAATTTGATATTTACCTGGAAAAATGGCAACTTAGATTTAAAAAATCAGAAAGAATAAAGAAACTTAATTCTTAATGTATCCTAAACACATGTAAATGCTTATAAACATCTATGCTGACTCTCATTATTTATGGTAGTTATAGTCTACAAAGTTGCAGTGAACACTGAATACAGAACCATTGCTCCTAGAGAAAATACAGTGTTAGGTTCCTGAGAGCATCTGGTCCATTTTTGTTAACTAAGAATATATAACTTTTGTCTTTTGTGTATTTCTGTTTAAAGACACATTATTTAACATCTATTTTTTACTGCTGATTATTTGCACGGTCTTTTAATGATTCCAACCAGGAGCTTTGGATGCTGTATGTGTTCTGTAGGTTTGTTTGCCAATATTCTTGCTTACTAAGCCAGTTTTGGCATTGAAAACCACTATTCTACATAACCCTTTTCCTGTATAACACTTAACAGTATTTTTAAAATTCCGCAGAAGACTCCTAATTGGGAGAACCTGTACTGGATCCAAGTTTAACATTTTTCATGCCATGTCACCTTTTGAAATGTGCAAGTCAGCCAGCACTACCTGATATAACCTTAATATTTTCCTAACCCAGAGTAATGTTAGTTTGGCTTTCCTCAACAATGCTATCCACTACGAATTACTGATCATCATTTCATGAATCCACCAATGTAGCTGCTTTCTCATCTTTTCCACAGCTTCAAGACTATGAATGCTTTCTGTACTTTCTGAAGCAGCCTCATATGCATATTGGCAAATTTCCTTCTTTTTCTGGTTGTACCATATTTTTGATGCGTAACATTGAACTTGCAGCCGACAGCATTGTAACTCATGTATGAAAAAGGTTTATCTACCTTCTATTTTCTCCGTAAGAAACAACACAGCCTTCTCACACTCAGGACACTAAACAGCACCTCAGCACTATGCTTGGGACCATTTTAAAAAACAAAATCACCAACAAAAAGTACAAAAATTGGAAAAATGTGACACTAAACACACCATGAAAAGAACAGTTACTTGCTTACAGTATTAAAGCTAAAACATGTCCAGGCATGGTGGCTCATGCCTGTAATCCCAGCACTTTGAGAGGCAGAGGCAGGCAGATCACCAGAGGTCAGGAGTTCAAGACCAGCCTGACCAACATGGAGAAACCCCATCTCTACTAAAAATACAAAAAATTAGCCTGGCATGGTGGCGCGTGCCTGTAATCCTAGCTACTCAGGAGGCTGAGGCAGGAGCATCCGTAGAACCCAGGAGGCAGAGGTTGCAGTGAGCTGAGATAGTGCCATTGCACTCCAGCCTGTGCAACAAGAGCAAAACTCTGTCTCAAAAGTAATTTTAAAAACTGAAACAAAAAGAGCTCCTTCAGCCTCAGCTAGAAACACAGGCACTGAGTGACAGCTTTCACTGCTCTGTGCATGTCCTTGAATAATCACAAATGCACTGTGAGTTGTGACTTTTAAATTACAAATAAATTTTAAGTAGATAAAATTGCAAACATAAAATTTGCTAATAATAGCAATGAACTGTATATGCATAATTTAAACTCCATCCATAAATTAAACCACCCTATTTGATTTTACCCTAATCAGGTTTTACCCTACCCCAACTCTGTCCACAACCCACCCAGTACCTCTGGTAATAGGTGTCTGAGCGTCCGCAGGTAGCCCCTGACTTGCGAAAGACTTCACGGCGCTTCCAGCCAGGGCCCAGGGCTGGGCAATCCAGCCAGTCCTCAGCCATGGAGGCCACAGGAAGCTGCAGTAGCCTGAAAGGGGGTGGAGAGGATGAGGGAAACTGAGGCTCTAGTAAGGGACAAAACTGTGCCTCAGGCCACACAAATCACTGGTATCCATTAGTGCTTGCCCAAGACCTAGGATCTGCCATCCCATTCTTTCCTATTCTGGGCCTAAAAGATCCTCATTCCTCAACCCAAGGGTCCCCATTTCTTATTCTCAGTGTCCTATTCCCTACTCCTCTCTATCCTTGGACTGACATCCCATCATTTCTCCTCACTGCCAGTCCACAAACTTTTCATCCTTTTCCCTCATTCCTCCCTGTCATTGACCTAAGGTCCTCTATCCCTCTATTTTATCACCCCAAGACCCCCATACTCCCCATCCTCAAGCCCCAAAAGGCCCCATTTCTCTTGCTCTCACTACTTGACTTCTTCATTCCCCCTTCCTTGACCCAGGAGTTCCTAATTTCCCTCCTTCAGTGTTTTAACCATTCCATTCCTTCCTTGTCTGATGTCTTCTTATCCTGCTATCTCAGTGTTACAACCTCGACTTCCTCTGCGAGAGACACAACTGCTTCAACCCATGGCCTGAACAGCCCCTCATCTTTTCCATTCCTCACACTGGAAGCCTCCTATGCCTCCCCTTCCTCAGCCCAAGAGCTCCCCACTTATTTTTCTTTTCCTTCGATGTTCTGACCCACAATTTCTCCCCAGTGTCAGCCCTCAAACCTTCCTGTTTCTCTCCTCTACAGCCAAAAAGTTCCCCTCTTTTCCCCTTCACTGTTCTCATCCTCCGTTCCTCTCATCATCATCTTGAGAGACCCTAATTTCTCCCCTCAGCATTCCGAACCCTCCCCCATTCTCTGTTCTTGTCCCAGGATCATGCCATCCCTAACTGTCAGTGTTCTGATCTCCTACTGCTCCTCATCCTCTATATGGGGCCCCCATCCCTCCCTTTCAGCATTCCAACGTCTCCATTTCTCCTGTCATCAGCCTGAGGGCCCCTCATTTCTCCCTCAGAGTTCTGAACCCCTATCTCTCTCTCTCTCTCAACTTCAGATGCCCTGATGTCTCCCTTCAGCATTCTGAACTCCACCATTCCACCCTGTCCTCACCCCAGGATCTCGACACTCCTACCTGTCAGAGTTCTGAGCTCCATTCCTTCCCGTCCTCAGCCTAAATCCCCCCATTTCTCCTCGTCAGTATTCCGACGCCGCCATTCCTCTCCCTCACCGGCCTGAGGGCCCTCCATTCCACCCCGTCAGCGTTCTGAGCCTCAATTCCTTCCCATCCTCCGCCTGAGCGCTCTCCACGTCCAGCCCCAAGGCTGTCTCACCAGTCTGGCACCAGACCGGTATCTTCCGCAGCTCTAGGCCCGTGGACCCAAGGCGAGGGTCCCTCCTGCACCTTCCGCCTCGCCCTCCTCCCCTTCTTCCTCCTCGGCGGCCGCCTCCTCTGAAGCGGTAGCTGTTGCCTCCGCGGCTGTTCGTTGCTCCCGGAACCGGAAGTCCGCGGCCTGCCTCTCTCGGGCTCCTCCTCTAGAGACGCACCTGCGCGCTAATGCTTCGACGGCGCGTGCCCTTAATAGGGAGGCTCCTGCGCCTGCGGGCTAGCACTCCGCAACTGTGCGCGCGCCCCTGCCAGGAACGAGTTGCATCTACGTGATGACGTTTAATAGCCGCTCGCGCCCCATCGAGGGATCAGCAGCCGCGGAGCCCCTCGCTGCCTCTCTGGCGTGCGCATGCGCTCTCCAGTCTAAGCTGAGGGGAAATGGTTGGGGAGGGCTTGCGCTTGCGCCCTCCGTTTCCTCCCGCGGTCTCCAAAGCGGATGCGGACGGCGGCGAGAAAGATGGTTCAGGCCTGCGCACTCCTTGGCCCAGCCGGCACTCTACTCTCCCACCTCTCGCTGGTGTCGAGCCTGTGCCTCCAGGTCTCTCCGAACATCAACCCCAGGGCTGTCGTGTCCTGCTCCCTCCTCCCCGCTGAACCGCCGCGGGGCAAGCGGGCCGGGGAAGGGGGCGGTGCAGCTGCACCGCAGGTAAACTGAGGCACGCTGGAGGGCGCGCCCCTGCGGATCGTCAAGGTGGGGCTTAAACGGGGCCTGGCGTCCACGGCGGACGACAGCTCTGCGTGGGAGAGAGGAGCACGAGCGGGCAGTGTCACCACACTGAATGCGCGCTACGTAGACCTATGCCCGTGGGAGGCTGGGAATGTGGGTCCCTGGGCTCTTCCGGGGTGCAGGAGCCCCCATCTTACCTAGGAGTTGGGAATAGTTGCAACCGCAGCAATGTGGAGGCAGCTTCCTTAGTTTCTTCAAAATTTTATTAACAAAACCCAGGGAGGGGAAGGATGAGTGGACTCTGCAGCCCCACCAGGCACTGAACATGGAGACAGGGAAAAACCCTTTGACAAAGGCAGACGGGCGGTCAACCGGTGGATGGGCACAGGTTGAACCAGAGAAACTGATGAATGGAGGAACGGACACACGGGCACTGGGCGGCTCCCCCATCTGGAATGCAGGATGTGAGGGGTCCAGGCCAGGAGGCTCAGCGGTCGGCACTGGAGCGCAAGTCGGTAGTGAGGGGGTCGTGCTGGATCGTCTGGTGCAACATCAGGGCCAGCAATCCCGCGCGGTTTGTCATGGCTGTGCGCACATTGCGCTCCTGCTCAAACAGCTCATCCAGCTTGTACCACTGCCAAGGGAGCAGCAGGAGTCCTGAGCAGGCACTCTTGAAGCCCCGATTGCCCTCGGCCACGTCCGGGATGGACACCTACCATGTGCAGCACTGAAACCACATGGAAACCTACCACACGCACACGCTCCAAGTCCACTTCCGCACGTCGCAGCTTCTCCCAGCAGTAATGGCGATTGCATTGGCGCTTGGGCAGGCGGCAGAAGTCACCTGTGAGCTCAAAGACATCACGTACAAGGGGGCACCCGCATACCTCGTCGGCTGGCACCTGCAGGGGGGCCAGGGTGGGGATGAATAACGGTGATATGGGAGAATAGGAATGGGGGCTCAAGGAGGGAGAAGGGAAAGAATGGAGGTTTCAGGGGATGGTGAGGAGGCATGAAAAGGGAGGAATGGAGGGTGAAGCAGCAGAGAAGGTGAGAGGAAAAAGTGAAGGAAAGGTTAAGGTGAAGAAGGAAGGGATGAATGTGGGACAGTGAGGCAGGGAGGGGCAAAATGGGGGAAGCTCAGGGAAAACCTTACTTTGGGGTCCCGTGAGTGCTCAGGGCACAGCACCTGGAGCCGCTTACAGTATGTTTTACTCTGAGGATTATAGACATCACAGAAGAGTCGTGTGGCCCTGGGGGTTTGGAGTAAGTAGAGAGAGGGTAGTGGAGGGAGGGAAAAGAGGCCCACCTGTCCTTGCTGGTGCCCATATCCTGCCCCAGTGCCACACACATCCCACTTCTGACCCCTGCCTTAACCCCCCACCTGTCACTTCACATGGCACCTTCACTTACCCTTCAATTCGTGTGGGGTACATGGACCCAAAGGACGTCTGGCTCTCATACTGGAGGGATGAGCACAAATGGAGGGAACTGTGGAGATGCACTGCATGCCCTCCCAAGACACCACCCAGACAACAAATCTGTCCCCCACTGGCCCGCTGATGTCCCCACATGGTCCGCCCCCTCAGTCTGACACCCCAACCTTGGCGTAGCAGCGCTCCATGTGGCGCAAGGCAACACGTGGGTTGATGGGGTGCCCACAGGAAACACAGAAGATCTGCAGGTCTGTGTCATCACTGTCACCCTCATTGCTCTGCATGGGGTGGAAGGAACAGTAAGGATAGGCAGGACAAAGTACTGGGCCCTGCCCAGCTGCTCCCCTGCCTCACCTCCTCATCCTCGCGCACAGCCTGCTGCTTGGCACGAAGAATGATGGCCTCAAGCTCATGGAATCGGCGTTCCATTTCCTGAAGGCGAGTGCGGGCACTCTGTTGCTCTCGGCGAATGCGTTCGAGCAGCTTCTTACCATGCTCTTCAGCAATGCAAGGACTCTGCTGCCACTGCTGGATGCGCTGGGGGAGGATCTCGTAGATGCGGCTACAGGAAAGGTGGCAAGCGACAGAATGAGTGAGGTGATCAGTAAGTAAGGATGGCAAAATAGATGCACGACTAAATGGCAAATGGAGAAGTAAATAGGTAACAAGTAGAATGGTGGATGAATGGACACATGGGCAGATGGGTGGGTAGGTGGTTGGGTTGAGCGGGTAGTGGCTGGTGACTGAATGGTGGATAGCTGATTGACTGGTAGACAACAGAAGGCTGTGGTCAGGCCCTACCATGCACTTCCTGACTCCCTTAAACCCCGCAGGAATGGCTCACTTGGCTGCCAGCTTCATGCCACAGTCATCTGAGCAATACTTGGAGCTGGGCTGGGCGGGGCGCACACAGCCAGGCCCCAGGCACTGAGGCAGCGACGCAGGGTCCTTGGCATCGTTCCTCTCTGGGTGTTTCCATTTATCCTTGTGCTTCTGCTTCTGCCGATGCCGCTTGTACCGCTCCTCCTTCTGTGGAGCAAGACAGGTCAGGTCAGGGTGGTCAAAGTCAGCCCCAGACCCCGGTCTCCTGCTCCATTCCAGCCCTTTCTGGCTCTTGCCCCATTAAGCCTCTGAGCTCTGCCTCTCCCTCATCCCCACCCTCTGCCTTTCCACATCCATTTTACCCTCTCCGTCACCTTCTTCTCAGATTTCTTCTCCCGACGCTTCACATGCTTCACTTTCACTGCCCTCTTCCGAAGCGCGGGGTCCAGGAATGGGGACTCTTCTGTGTCGCTCATCCAGGGCTGCAAGCAGGGCATGCACTGACCCACCTGCCCCCCTCATGACAACCCCACCACCTACTCATGTCCCAAATCAGCCTTCCATACCCTCTGTCTCCTCATTAGAGATACTCTCTGCTTCTGTCACCTCCACCCTTCCACCAGGGGATGCGCCTGTCTGCTCACCAGGCCATGGTCATCAAAGGCCCCTGCACAGAAATCCTGATACAGGTCAGGATCCAGAGGTAGGTCCTCATCTGAGAGTGGCTCAGGCGTGGCTGTAGCCTCAGGAGGCTCCTTGACTGCTGATGACGCCACTGCCCCCTCATCTTCACGGATGCGCCCTAACTTCTGTGACGGCTGTGGCTGCTGTTGGGTGGGCAGTGGCCGACGGGGCCTTGGCAGGGACTCTGAGGGCGTCACTGGCGAGAGCTGCAGGGCAGAATCTCAGGACTGGCCCTGACCGCCCTGCCCACATGCCCCGCCCTGCCCTGGGGGGCTGGACTCACCGAGGAAGGGAAGTACTTGTACGATTCCTGTGCCGGCAGGAGGAAGGCCCAGGTCAGCCCCAGGTGGATGGAGTGTGGCCTTGTCCTAGCCCCACCCACCTGGCCTGGCCTTGCCTCCCTAGACATACCTCCCCGCTATCCCTCATTACCAGGACATGCTCAGCCCTGCCTGATCCTCACTGACATGCATGACCAACTGGAAACACCTGGCCCCACTCTGTCCACCCAGGGTTAGTGGGGTTTCTGCCAGCCCAGCATACCTTGTCATGCCCCATTCATCTGGACATGACAGGCCTCTTTCCACCTATCTAGTCAGGCACAATCCCACCTGGCCCATGCCTAGACTTAACTAACCCTGCATGGACCCACCAGCTCTCCCACACCTGACCCTACCCAGCTCTGTCCATGCTCACCCGGGCCCGCAGCTGGCACTGGCGCAGCCGGCATTTCTGCCGGATCTTGTTGGGGCCTCCAAACTTTTTCATGTCCCGACAGAAATCACAGTGACCACAGTCCTCAGTGCGCCGACATGCCTCGCACTCACCACACATGCGGGCTGACCGTTTGATCTGCTGCTGCTGCTGCTGCTGCTGCTGGAGGAGGGGGCCCAGAGAAGAAATCACCGACCCAGGCAGGGCCAACATGGAACCACTTTACACATCCACGCACTTTATACAGCCACTCACCTGGCTGGGTGTGGCCACCAAGGGCTGCGGAGAGGATTTGTGGGGTGAAGCAGAGCCCCGAGCAAGCATGGCCCCAACCCCTGTCCCTGACCCTGCCCGACGCTGCAGGTCTGGATCCGGGACAGGCCTCTTGCGCCCTCCACCCTCATCCCGGGGCTCGCTGCCATCCCGCTCATTGCCATCCCGCTCCCGTGACTTCTTGTGCCGATAGCGAATCTCTAGCTTGGGGTCCTTCTCTGTGGGGCAGAGAGTAGGGATAAGGTGAGCATGGAGGGCATGAATGGTTCCAAAACCTCTTTATTCCCCTTTTCTCCCTTACTGTCCCACTTACCTATTCACCTCTGTACACGACAGAGCTGCCCCTTCCCGTGGGGTCTTCTATTACCACTCACAATGCAGCCCCCATTCCAGCTCACCACAGACATGTATTACTACTCCCCATTATCCCCCACTGTGGCTCCCCCACCGCCTCTGAAGCCCCTCCTGACTTCCTTGTCCATGCATGGCCCTCACCTCGGCACTCCCGACAGTACCACTCCCGGATGGCCTTGGCCATCTTCTCAGTGATCCGGATGCAGTCCCCATGGAACCACTCATTGCAGTTGTCACACCCGCTGCAGAGGATGGGACAGGTGGTGAATATGTAAGGGGCACAGCCAATGGACCTTACCCCACCCTGCCAGTGTCAGTCCCGCCCACCTCTCCCGGGCTCACATCATGAAGCAGTTGATGTCCGGTTTGCGACAGATGCAGTAAATGGGCGCATTCTCCCCATTCTCCGACTTGCTGTCCTCCCCAGCATCTGCAGGCTCTGGGTCTGAACCATCACCCTCCTGCGGGACACCCCCATTACGGCTCTTTAAACAGCCCCCACCGTGGCGGCTCATCCCAGCATTACAGCTCCATCATGGTCAGCACGGATCCCCACTCTGCCTGCAGATTTCCCATCGGGGCCCCCAAAAAACCTCTCCATCACAGTCCCCACTGACTCCCATCCCTTCCCCTGACATCCCATTACTCGGCTTCATACTTCCCATCACACACCCACAGGCACCCGCTCCCTCTGTCTACACTCACTGGCGGGTCATCGAGACCCAACATCGTGGCGCCTCACAGACCCCGCCTAACTCACTCCTTGAACTTCCCATCACGGTTCTCCACGCATCCCTCCCTGTTTACTTCACAGACCCTCCCGGCACCCGCACCCCCAGTCTCAGCTGTCTACGGATCCCCGGCCAGGGACTCTTCCTCAGCACGGCTCACCACAGACCGCCCAAAGTGATTCCTCACAACCCCCTTATCCCTCTGCCCAAAGAACCCCCAATCATGGTTTCCCACGGAACTACCGGGTACCCGGAGTCCCCACTAAACTTCTATTACGGACCCCCACCGTGGCTCACCATAGAATTCCCAGATGGCTCATCATTCTGCCCATAGACTCCCGCCGTTCTGTCCAGACTCCGGTTATCGCTCACCACAGACCCCCTAGTCGGCCGACAGACCCCGAGGTTGCCAACCCCACTGACCTCCGCCGCCGAATCCCTCACTAGACGCGGTACTCACCATATCTCCGCTCCCGGCGCACTCCTTCAGGACCCCGGCCGCGACCCGCGAACCTACACAGACCCCCTCAGCGGCGTTCCAGGCGGTTGCAAAGGCGCCCACAACTACTTCCGCTTCTGGTCACGCCTCCCAGGCAGCGTACTCCTGTTGCGCAGGCCCCGTGAGTCGTCTCCGCCGCAAACCATTAGGCGCCGCCATCTTGATTACGTATCCGTATGGTGGCCGGATCCATACCATCGCCGGGAACATGGCTGCGCTCAATCCTGGCTTTCGCGATGGGGCCGCCACCTTGTCAATAGAGTCCGTACGGTGGCTGCTGGTACTGTCTCGACGTACAGGTAACATGGCTGCATCTACTGCGTGACTTCCTCACAGATGCCGTCATCTTGGAATCTGATTCCGTACGTGGGTCGAATTAGTACGGTCCTAGAAGACACATGGCGGCGACCTAATTGCGGATTCCACAAGGGCGCCGCCATCTTGATGGTTGATTACGTACACTGGCCGCTTGTCAGAGAGATTCACAGGTAAAGCTGCCGCTCCCGAAACACTACCTGGATCAAGTCTTATTCATTCCTCCATTCAGTCTCTTTCTCTATCCACATGCGTTAATGGGGCGTCGACAGGCTATATACCTTCCGCGGTGGAGGAAACCAGTTCTTCTGTCGTCTCCGACTTCACCTGCCACCACTCTTTCCGGATCTCACTCCTCCCACTTGTCATTCTTCTGCCAGGCCTGGCACGGTTCAGCTTCTATTTATTTTATTTTTATTTAAAAACAGTTCTAAAACTAACATCAAATCTTATTTTAGTTCTATAAGCTGCACAATAAGCCTAAGCACAGTTTACTTACCCATTTCTTTGTTGCTTAGCATTTAGAACATTTTCAAATGTTATTGTAAATAAAGTTGCAATGAACATTCTTAAACATAGATCGGTATGCTCATTCCTGATTATCTCTTGTGAAATATGATATACAAAACGATGTCACTCTGGTTAAGAGCTGTAAAATGGAGCCTGGAAGCCATTCTAAGGACTCCCCGCAAACTTGCAAAAAGGAAAACAAACCAAAACTAAAACACAACAGGAATTTGCCTCGAACCTTTGAATTGGTCCAAACTACAACGACCACACGGTCCTGGAAACCAGCTATATTTCACCAGTGCTGCGTCTCCTGAACAAAACCAATGAACTATAGACTCATGCTGGCCAGCTGCCTCCAGCAATAATAATTCCTTTAAAAGAATTTGTGTAATCATCCTTAATTTCCTTTTTATTTTTCTTTAAAACTCCTACTCCCATTTCTCTCTTTGGAGCACAATCTGACTTTGAGCTGAATCTGGGTCTCCTGAATTGCAGTTCCTATGCCCCAATAAACTCCTGCCTTGCAGCTTGGTCTGTTGCCTCTTCTTAGTTGACACTCCTGAGAGATAACATTCTAAAAGTAGAATTACTTTATAATTGACTATAAATATTATAAGACATGTTAAAATTTGTCGGAGGTCATTGGTTTGGACAGTGCTCCTGCAGGAGGCCCCACCAAAAATGGAGTCACCCACACTAAACTTTCATGCCACCAAGTCAAAACTAATTTGTTTATCTGACCTTCCAAGAAATAAGTAGAAAGATACAGAATAATAGCTAAATCCCCAAATGAGCCACTTTAGCTTGACAATCCCCTCTGCTTTAACCCTTTTTTAAAACGTAACCTGAAGCAACCTGATGTTAACCAGCTTTTTAAAAAAAAATTGTTCTTTTTCCTTGCTCCCACCTTACAAAATTCACTGTTCTGCTATTTCCCAGGGGAAGCTCTCATTCTATTTTGTATAATGGGATCTGCCCCAATTAATGAAGTGCAAGTAAAAGCCATTACATCTATAACTAAATTTGTTGTAATTTTGTTTCTTGATTGTTGGGGTCCGGCATGTCTGCCAGGGGGCTACCGACCTGTGGGAGTCTCCAAGACCACCAACGTAGATGTCTCGTTCAACCTGAGGGATAGAGTGCATGGAAGTGAAAGAAAAAAGGAAAGTGGAGTCTGGAGGGCTGGCTTAGGCTATGTCCAAGCAGCAATTTTATTTTTGCAATATGTTCCATTATATACTTTTCTGAAGTTAATGTTGTTTACGCCAGATCAACATACCTGTTACAGTAAGCAAGTTACGCCCACTAAGTTACACCCACCAAGTAAGTTAGCCCAGTAAGTACTTAACAATTGTAAATACTTAAGTTAAGTCACAAGGTAAGCAAGTTACAGTTACCCCAGTAAGTTACGGTAAGTAAGTTACAGTTACCCCAGTAAGTTACGGTAAGTAAGTTACAGTTACACCCAGTAAGTTACGGTAAGTAAGTTACCAAGTGTAAATAATTAAGTTAATATTTTACAATGAAGGTAACAAGGGTCCAAAATGAACACAATCAAGCAATAAACCATAAGGAGCTGAAAGTGGACACAATGCCTCCCAAGTCCTCATATCCATAAAGTAATGTCTGTTAATTATTTTGAATAGCATAGTCCCTCTCTCGGTTCCTGCTTTCCCTCAGCTCGACTCCCCCAACCGGGGATCTGTCTCCGGGCTCAAGCTCACCGTATAGTGAGGCCCATTTCCTAGGGGCCTCACATGGGAGCGATCCCCACAGATCCCTCACTTGATGGTTGATACATATATTTCTACCAGCAGTGTACAAAGATTCCTATATTAGAGCCCTATTAGGCTATTAGATTAGGGCAAACTTTTGTTGTTGTTGTTGAGAAGGAGTCTTTCTCTATTACCTAGGTTGGAGTGCACTGGGCAATCTCTGCTCATTGCAACCTCTGCCTCCTGGGTTCAAGCGGTTATCCTGCCTCAGCTTCCCAAGTAGCTGGGATTACAGGCAGGTGCTACCACACCTGACTAATTTTTGTATTTTAGTAGAGATGGGGTTTCACCATGTTGGCCAGACTGGTCTCAAATTCCTGGCCTCAGGTGATTTGCCCGCCTCAGCCTTCCAAAGTGCTGGGATTACAGGCGTGAGCCATCGAGCCTGGCTCACACTTATCACACTCAGGGTCCTAGAGAGGAATCGGTGCACCAGTTTTCTAATCCCAATCTCAAGTGATCCACTCACCTCAACCTCCCAAAGTGTTGGGATTACAGCCATGAGCCACCGTGCCCAGCCAGTGCAAATTTCTCAATTCATCATCCCGTCAGTAAAAATTTGTCAGCATCCACAGCCATTTTATAAATGTAAGGCCAATAGCCTTGCTATGAGCTGGATGAATAACACCCACCACTCTCTATGCCTGATAACAGTTTATCAGGCAGAACACATTACTCAGCATCTGGCTCCTCCATGCGGGCTCCCCTCGCCCACTTCTGCATTCTGCCCCCAGGTCTATATTCAGCACTAGACTATGCACTCCCAGCATCAAGCTATGCATTTGAACCTCAGCACTAAACTGTGCACTCTCAGCACTAAACTATACATCTGAACCTGCGAAAATTGAAGAAATCCTGCCAAGCCTTACCCAATGGCAGACCACCCCATGCATCCTAGGCCAGCTCCCCTCTAACCCCCATAAAACCCCCTGCCCTGAGAGGTCAAGCACGACTTCTCTGGCCCCCTTTCCTTAGGACCACAGAACCTCACCCGGGAGATAAAGAAATTGGCATCTGATTATTCTTATACTGGCCTCAGTTTCCTCATTTTAAACTCGGCAGTAACCATTACAAGTGGTGCCAAAATCTGGGAAGAGTTGTAAGACCCCCTCCTGGGGGAAACTGACTCCTCCACCTAAAGCTGGATCAGGAAAGCACTCCGCCGCGAGGTAAGACTTCTGTCACCCATAGCTTCTCCCACTGCCTGCTCTGTAGACTCCCTGCCTGTAACCGCGGGCACATCAGGGACTCCTTACTGCTGTGGGCCCAGGGCCCCCAGTTATGTTCTGAAGACCTGAGCATAGAGGAGACGTCCCTACACTCTTGTCTTCTCCCCGTAAGGGGTCTTCCGGGGGTCAGGAACCTGAGGGAGACATCCCCATCTTCCTGAACCCTCTCTGGTGTTCAGCAATGCAGTCCAGGATGCCTTCCAATCATCTCTGCAGCAGCAAGTGAGGTTTAGGTAATAAGAAGCCCCGTTTACAGCTCCAGGCCCTACTCAGGACCTAGACCAGACCCCGGCTCTTAGTCCCAAATTAGCCCTTTGGCAAGCTAACTCCCACCTAAGTACTCTTTGTTCCTCCTTTCTGTTCCCAAGCGAGTGTGTGAATGAGTGAGTTTATGTGTAGTCCCACGGCCTAACAGCTACGGGGCTTGAGTGGACCTCCACCCGTGGTTCCACAGGGACGTCATAAGGCACAACGGTGATTCACCTCAGGACCAAAAGTTTTGAGGTGACCAGGCCCGGGAGTTATATGGGTACACCTTAGCCAAGACACCCCAGAAATATCCCTCCGGGACATGGCCAGGAAGGCATCAGACTGGTCTCCCATCCAGGGACACCCACCCTTTGTTCGTCAAACCTATATGTGGTTCTGTCTTTACTGTAAGTTCGCCAACTTCATCAGGCTCCTGCTAGCTGACATACAGTGGTTTAGGCCTGCCTCAAGGTAGAAGATATCTTACAGTGGGTAACAGACCCCTGGCTACAGGGGACCTTCACTGACTTTTTACCTCTAGAGATAACTCTGTTCTCTTTTTCCTCCTACTTTTCATCTATCACTAAAACCGCACTCTCTGCCTCTCCCTGTCACTTCCCCTGTCACTAAAACCTCGCTCTCTACCCCGTTCCTGTCACTTCCTCAAAATCTCCCATGTGGCAGATAGCTCTAGCCTTATCTCTCTTTATCTTCTTTCTTTCTCATTGTATTCATTGCAGTTTGTAAGCTCTCTCAGCCACCCCCTCCAGGAAAAGAGCTCTTTTGCCTGTGTTGGGTGTAGTACCTCACCCCCACAGTTAACTAGCTAATCATGGGCAACCAGGGATCCCACCCTGACCCTTAAGTCGCCGCTAGGGTGCCTACTTTTAATCCTACACAAGCTGGGCCTTTCAATAAAAAAGAAAATGCTGTTCTTCCTCTCCACTGTAGCCTGGCCACAGTATCCCATGGACAACTGTTCCAAGTGGCCTCAAAAGGCACGCTTAACTGCAAGGTCCTGACAGATTTAGACAACTTTTGCCAGAGAAACAGGAAGTGGGTAGAGGTTCCCTATATTCAAGCTTTCTGGCACCTCCACTCCCGTCCCAACCTCTGCTCCTCTTGCAGTACCACCCAGGTGCTCCTAGCCAAAGACATTCCTGCTCCACCCTCAGCACCTTCACCGGCCTCCTTCTCTTCTTTTTCTGACCCCAATCTGGCCAAAGAACTTTCCCTGCCCCCAACTCAACCCAATAATCCCTCACCATACGCAGACCCTCAACCCCCTCTTCCCCCTCCTTCTCTTCCAGTTTCTACCCAATCCCTTCCTCCTCCTCCTTCTCCTCCAATTTTCCCCCAACATCCCCCTCCTCCTCCTCCTCTTCCAGTTTGCCCCCAACATCCTCCCCCTCCTCCTCCTCTTCCAGCTTGCCCCCCACATCCTCCTCCTCCTCCTCTTCCAGCTTGCACCCAATCCCCTCCTGCCCCTCCTCTTCTGAGTCTTGATGTGGCCTCTCCTGTTAGTGCCCACACCCGCTCACATGGCGCTCTTGGCATCAGCCATTCCCTCCTTTGTCCTCTCTGCGAGGTGGTCAGAACAGAAGGTGTTGTCCAGGTGCACGTCCCCTTCTCCCTTGCCAATTTGTCCACCATTGAGAAATGCCTAGGGTCCTTTTCTACCAATCCTACTGCCTATATCAAAGAATTTAGTTACCTCACTCAGGCATATGACCTAACCTGGCATGACACCTATGTAGTCCTGTCCTCTACCCTTACTCCTGACAAGTGTGGCTGCATCCTTGAGGCAGCCAAAGCACACGCTGATCAGGTACATCTCACTGAGCCTCAAATGCCAGTAAACACAATAACGGTCCCTGTGGCCGAACCTAACTGGGACTATCAAACTGGCCACCACCAAGACCAGATGCTACAGTGCCTCCTAGCAGGCATGCAAGACGCAGCTCAAAAGGTAGTTAATTATGATAAGCTGCGTGAAATAACTCAGGGTCCCACTGAAAACCCAGCTGCCTTCATTGACCGACTAACCAATGCTATGGTTCTTCACACCTGAATAGACCCAGACTCCCCTGCCGGGACCACCCTCTTAGCTGCCCATTTTATCTCCCAGTCAGCACCAGACCTCAGAAAGAAACTAAAAAAGTCAGAAGACCCTAAACTCCCTTATGAGACCTGGTAAACATGGCATTTAAAGTTTTTAATGGCCGAAAGGAAAAGGCTGAGGCCATCCGCTAGGCCCATCTACAGTAACAGGT